GGCTGTCACTCCTGGCTTTGTGTTTCTTCACAGCAAAATCTCCCAACTACACACTATTTGCACTTGGTATTGGATACTTCTATATTTTATGGGGTATCCTGTGAGTCGCCGATGCTTAGCATCACTCCTGGCTCATACTCACTAGCTACCAGTTGCAACCCTCTTCCTTAACTTGAACAACAACAAAGCAAAACGTTTCCAGATAGGGCCACATATCCCCTGAGACCAAACCACCCCACTGAGAGTCACCCCAGATGTGTGTTAGAGGGTCTCCAAGTTGCACAGGGAGATATGGTCCCTTTTATTGCAGAACAAAGGAGTGTTTCCAGGGGTGGAAGAAGGAAAGAGGACATAGCTACCTCGCCCCAGAGACATCAGGGGAGGTGTCTAAGAGCAAGGGGACGGTCTTGGCTGTTGTCACGTCAAGCTCACATCCTTTGTAATTCACAGGGCTTGTTCTCTAAGCGAGAAAGGGATGAAAACACTCTGTACAGGACACTGGTAGCCTTGAACAGGTGGTTTTCTCATTCCCTTGGTCACAGATGCAGCACCTGAAAATGATCAAGTCATCTCATTGCATCTCTGTGACACCCAGGGTGCAGTGCCGGGTGGGGAGGAGCTGTGGATGTGAATTGTCACAGAGGGTAGACCGAGGTCACGGGATGAAAATATTAACAGGAGCCTCACCTGGTAACGTGCTTTGCAGAGAATTGACTGTGCCTAGTAAATATGGGAGGAGCAGTGAGGCAGGATGTGGGGGGGGAGATATTTTCTTTAGAGATCTTGGTAGAACTGCTCTCAAATTGAATGGGTTTCAACTTTATTGTTTAATAACAAATAGATACATTATTATCATCTTTATCATGATGTCAGGGTTCTCCTCTGAGAGAGAACCCCTTTCATTTTATGAACAGCTTCCCTCTGTTTGATTCTCAAGTCAATCCTATTCCCATTTAGGGACACAGTCGGACCCCTCCAAGGTCACATAGTTGTCCAATGACAGCCGTGGGAAGCCAAATTCTGCCTCCCTTCCCGGGCCTTCTGTTTTCCCCCTCTCTGATTTGAAAGGTCAAGAGGATCTTTTCCCCTTCTATGAGCTAGTGGCTTAAAGACTGGCTCCTTCCCAAGAGGAATCTACCATCTCCTTCACCCTGAAGCCAGCGAAGACCAACAGGCAAAAGTTCCCCAGTCAGACAATCCCCAACTGCCATTGCCTGCAGGGATCCAGGCCAGACATCCACACTTCCAGGAAAGTTCTCAGTCCTACTAAAATTTTCCCAGGAGCAGTTCTGGCCTAGCCAAGCCAGAGAGCCAGGGACTATCAGAGGCAGAGGTAAGTGCTACATCAGGCAAGTGCCTGTCTCCTTGGCATCCCTGCACAAATGCTTAAAGGGCAGTCATCGACAGGGCCTCCCTGGGCATGGCCAACTGTGCGTGAACTCCAGTCGGCAAAACTCCATCTGCTAGACTGTCACGTACAGTGTGGAGTGCAGACACCTGACTCCATTCAGCCCTCCTATGGGAGACATAGCAGGATGTCCCAAAGTCTGATCTACCTAAGGTCCCAAACTCCCACCATTCTTGGGGTCAGGGATGCTGGGGTATCTGTGGGGATACCAGATGATGTAACAGCTGGAGGCCCTTGCCCCATCTCTTTCCTTCCCTGGTGTCTCTCTGGTACTCCCTGCCTATACTGTCTGGCGTTATGGACTTGCCCCCCCCCCCCCAGGCCCCAGGTTAACCTCTCCCTAGTCCTGTCAGTTCCCAGTCCCAGGTCCAAAGAAGGAGTCTTTCCAGGACCAAAGAAGGGCAGTATATGTACCCTTCACCGTAAAGCACTAAAAGAAACATTTGTCAAGGTCAACCAGGAAGCAGGTCCTGATAGCAGGTCTTCATGCCCTTTGGAATGGAACCCTAAAGACAGTCCAGTGAGGCATGCATGCCTCCCTCTATTTTATTTCATTTTTTAAAATGATATAGTTTTGAATACATTTATGTGGTCCAAAGGTGACTGTCAAAATAAAGATGTTTGCATAGAGAAATTATATTGCTATGCTCACCCTGTCCGCCCTTAACCATGCCCACCGGGAAAACCCTAATGATGGGCTGTTTCTTCTCCCCATTCTTCCTTGGCAGGGACAAACACCCCAACAAATTATTCTCTCCTTGGGGTCCCTCATCACAGGAGCTTACTCGTCTATTCACTACAGTAACGCCCAGATCCCCCGGCATGCCCCAGCTGCCAAAGTACCCCACAACTCCCCCACCAACAAAGTACCCCCAGCACACCTCAGCTCCACCTCACCCTATCAGCAATGTACTCAGAGGATGTGGTCTGATTTTTGGATTCTGTAGATAAGAAACAGAATTGCAATGTCATTTTAATGTGCATTTCTCTTGCTATGAACAGCTTGTCCTGTTTGTCAATTAGATTTCCTTCTGTGAACTCTGTTCTTATCCTTGGCCTCTTTTCATCGCTTGTTCCTGTTCATATATCTCAGAGTCCTTAGTATATAGGAGAGAGTCCTTTGTGATGTGGTTACAAATATTTTTCCTAGCATATACTTTGTTACGACCTTGCTTATGGTGATTTCTACCTTCAAATTTTCATTATGTTGTCTGAATTTTTAATCATGTTTAGAAAAACCCTTCCTATTCCAAAGTTGTAAAGCATATTACTCATGTTTTCTACGCTATTTAAATGGCTTTTTAAGTTTACTTTCATTGTGGTAAAATATATCTCAGGTGATATTTAACACTGTCACCATTTTAAAATGTAGTTAGTGGGAGTAAGTACAATCACATCCTTCTGCAACCATCCGAACTACCTATGTCCAGAACGTTTTCATCACTTAGGTTTCCTTTTAAAATGTTAATTTTATTTCTCTGAAATCTATAGTTCTACTGTGTGATGTGAATAAATTGTGGACCCTGCTTTAACCTTTTCCTAAATGGTAACGTTATCCCAAGACCATGTATAAAAAAGTTCTTCTATCTTATCAGGTCCATCCATTTCAAAGTTGAGGAAACTAAGTCTCAGAGAGACAAGAAGCCCCCCTTATCCGCCTAAAGTCACACATTAAATGTCACCTCCATCTCCCATGCTGCCTAATGCCAACCTTTCTACATCCTGCTTTCTGAGTTAACGAGAATAGTTAGTGCTTTAGTAACCAAAGTTAATACCAAAAGACCTACAATCAAGTAAGGGAAATGAGGACATGAGAAAGGAAATTGTGCCCTATCATTGGATGGAATCCTGCAGAGCAGACTGGAAGAGCTGCAGCTTTGCATCTGATGACTGGGCGCAGGCAAGCACAAAGGGGAGGCACCTTGGAATCCCAGGGGGAAATCACAGAAAGGTCCTGAGAGATGGGACTAGGCCACTGTTCGTTTGTTTACTGCAGCTGTTGTTGTGAGCAGTGAGCACACCGACTAGTGCACAGGCAGGTGTGCCACAGGAGGGCAAGGGGAGGGGGTCGCTCAGAGGAAAGCCCAGGTATCTCAGCTAGAAGCCCGTGTGGCCTCCTAAACACAGCTGCTGCGGTGCTAACAGCCAACGGAAGCCCCACACATTTGTTGGCACTTTCCCATGTTTCCCAGGATACTTCCGAAGGCCTCTGGGCCCGGAAACTGCAAAACCCCTTACAACGGGTGCAGGGGAGCTTGCCTCACTCTCAGCGCCTGGGTGTGCTTCCTGCTTTGTTCAGAACTCAGTATTTCTGAAGGAGGAGTCCAGAAGCCGTTAAAGGCTTGGTTTCCCTTCCCTGTGCTAGGGGGTGGGGTGGGGGGCAATTGAGCCCTGTGATTTTGGACCCCTCACCTCTCCAACTTTGACTAGTGGGTGACAGGACACACAGCTCCCCTTCTAGGAGGAGGCCAAGTTCTGAGGCCAGGAGAGCCTTCAGCCCATTTTGTGTCTGCTTTTGCTTTTGTGTTTGCGTCTCCCTGGCATCCAGCAGTTGGGGCTTGAGATGCCCACCTCCAGATCCTTTGCCGCCAAGGCTCTGGGTCAGTCATTTACAACCATTTTATGTTATTGATTTGCCTATGGAAGAGAAATCATTTTCGTTACCTATTTTTGAGTCAAAAATGAGAAATCAAAAGACAGCTGGGGGTCCCTGCCAGCAGGGCATGTGAGGACCCTCTCTGTCGTGGGCTCCTTATGCCCCTGACACAGTCCGCGGGTGCTCTGATGGGGAAGCCACACCACTCTGCTCCTAGTGGTCACATCCGGAGCCCTGTCCCTCAGAGAACACACGCTGGGTAGCCTCCTTCTGAGTCCCTTCTCACTCTTGGACCTGCTGTGGGTCCAACCCTGGGAACAAAAGTGGGGGCCTCAATAAGGCTCTGAGCTTGGGGGCTCTGTGGGGTGCTTAGAGGTGGGGTCTGCCCCTCCGGGGCCTGGAAGCCCTGGAGGGCAAACAGGGGTGCCCCAGGCCCTTTGCAGCCTGCAGGCCACTGCCGCCATTTGTGGGGCCATACTTGCTGGAGCCCACCCACGGAGGTGGCAGTGCCCACGGAGGTGGCAGTGCGCGCCAGCACAGGTGCAGCAGCCTGATGATTCTGCACAGGTGGGCGCTGGGGACACGGCGTCCTGCCCCGGTCCCCACAGCCGCTATTCTCCAGGTGCAAAGCTATGGACCAGAGCAGGAGGGAGGACGCGGGATGGCCTAGGCCTGTGAAGGGGGAAACCCTACGGGCGGGGGCGATAGCGCTGGGTGGGCGGAACCCACCCAGTGAGCCTGGAGATGGCGGGACTCGGGTAGGCTGGACAAAAGTGTATGCGGTGGGCGGGGCGGTAGCAGGCCGGTGAGCGGCGGGGTGGGAGTGGCGATGATGTGTGCGGTGGGCGGGGCGGCGGCGCGGCGCGCTCAATAGGCGGGGAGGCGGCGGGGTCGCCGGGTGGTGGCGCGAGGGGGGCGGGGCCTGGAGTGGGTGGAGCCGAGTGACGCGCGCCGACGCCAATCCCGGAAGCGGTGTCAGATGCTGGGGAGCCGGGCTGGCGGGCGGGCTGGCGGTGGGGGGACTTGTTGTTCTTCGAGAAGTCGGAGTCGGAGCGCGCGGCGGCGGCTGCGGCGGCGGCGGCCGGGAGGGAGCGCGAGAGTGAAGGCGAGGAGAACGCGTGCTCGCGAGGAGCCGCCGCGCCCCCCGCGCTACGCCAGGTGAGGAGTCGCCGGCCGGCGGGGCTGGGCCGGGGTCAGGGGGCAGAGGGGGCGGGGGTGGCGGGGCGCGAGGTTCTCGCCGCTGAGTCACGGCCGCGCCCCGCCGGACCCGCGGCAAAGTCGGGCGGAACTCCCAGACTCGGTCGGCCAGCGCACCTGCCGCCGAGGTGCGGGAGTCCGGGTCGCGCCGGGCGGGCAGGTCTTCCTCCCGGCCCGCGCCCCCCGCCCAGCGCCGAGTGTGGCTGAGGCGGTGCCCCCAGGAGAGCGGGGAGTGGGGCGGCACCCCCTCCATGGTCCTGCCCTCAGTGCGGCCTCGGGCCTCCAGAGGGCCGCAGGAGGCGGGAAGGCGGGGGCGAAAATAAAGCGCCACGTGCAAGGGAGCGCGGGACCGCCTCGGGCCTCTCTCACCTGGCCGCTGGCTCTGCGTCCTCAGCCGGTGCTAGTCTTGCTGGCGACGCCCAGATCTTGCCCCTGCGGTCACTACTACTGAGCGCCGGGCTGGGTCTGCACTGCTCGGGGAAGGTGGGGCAGAGCGGGGAAAGGAGGCTGACTGGCCGATACCACTTTACGACTTGCCGACGGAGCGACCAGGGGTTGGGTGTCGCCATCCCCAAAGCTCACTGCTGATTATCATTTTTTCTTCTGTGAGTGGGTTTTCGTCTAACTCTGAATGCGGTTCTTCTTATTGTCAGAGGTCAGGAAATAGTGTGTCAGTCAGTCTGCTTCTACACTGTTACCTGGAGTAGGACATTTCGGAAATGAGAATCCACGTCTACCTTAGGAAAAGCAAGTTATTTGCCTTCCGTCTTCCATAGTATTCTCACCTGCCGCCTGATGTGGTGTTTTTTCACAGTGTGACACTTGCCCAGTTGGTGGAGCAGTTCATGTTGGGGTTGCTGGAAGTTCGTACTCCCCCACCTTGTGTTAATGATTATGCTCTTGTTTGCCTTTCACACAGCTCTCATAGCCAAGGCAGAAATGGGATCTCCCCCCTAACAATTCATTCAGCAGATGACCAGTACTTGGCCACCTTCTCTTGCCAGGTTGCCTGGCCTGGGAAGTGCCTGCAACTCTAGATTGCGTGGGGCAAGGCTGCTAGGATCAGTGGGCTCCTATGCCAGTGGGGCTGGCCTTCCCTTACCCTGTCATTGGCATTGAGTTTTTGCCCATATGTAAAAGTATCTTGGTAGATTGTGTCTTCAAGCCTAATGTCTTCAGGTGGGTGGAACCTGTTAAGAAAGTTTTAGCCTGAGCCGGTGTTTATGGTCTAGGAAGTTGAAGGTGGGCCAAGCCAGTGGGTAGGGCACACTTGCAACCTGTTGTATTGTGGGTACCTTTAAGAACACTTTCCTCACTGTATAACCTGGTAGGGATGTTCCAGTTTGATCACGGTGAGGGATAAGTGGGAGGGTTTAGTTACAACTAAAAACTGGATCTCTGGTCATTCCAAAAAGAAATGTCTACTAAATAAAAATCACAGAGTTACGCTCCGCCCCGGAACCCATTTGCCGTTTGTGCTTGAACATAGCTGGCCTTTAAGGGCTCTGCTCCAACTTCTGAGTTGATTACTTTCAAGGTGGTTGCTAAAAATGGGAGCCCAATCGGGGTGAGTTGGGAAAGTGGCTCTTGCTGAGTATGGGGTTGCTGCATTCCAGTCTTGCTCCTGCACTCTGAGGCTGCCACTGTGTGGGGTCGTTTTCCAGACCATTCTTTGTCCACCACCCAGAACATGTGCACAGATAGCTGGAGAGTTTGTTTATAGTCTCTGGTCACCTGGAAGAAGGCCTGCCTGAGTCTAAAGGTTTCTGAAGTGGATTTTCTGGATCTAGGGTCCAGTCCACACGGGAAGTGGTGCCCTGGCCAGCTGGGAGCGTACTCCGTAACTGCTCCTCAGAGCAGTAAACAGTGACTCACCCTCCTGCTCCGCCTCCCCGCTCGCTTCTAATGGAAGATGTATTGCTCCGGTATTTACTTTTGCTTTTTATAAGTCACACACTCTCATGTTTCCTCTTTCTTACAGTTTCAGGAAATTGAAAGTGTTACCTTAAAAATCATAGGATTTAAGAGCAGGTAGCAGTGAATTGAGGGGGTTAGTATGGTCCACCCCCCCCCCCATTTTAGATGAGGAAACCAAGGTTTCCTTTGGCCTGTGAAGCAGAGTCCAGGGGCTGGTGTGGCATTCTGCTGCTTTTCTGGGCCTCCCATCTGGGTGCTCTGTTCCAGAGGGACCAAGAGGTCATTATCAAACCATCCCGAAACTTCACTACCTCCGATGAAGGACTGAAATCTCTTATGTAGTAGTTCTTTTACCTGCTGTGAGTTGTAAGAGCCCCTGTGGCTAAGAGTGTCCTTCATTCTCCATCCAGTGAAGGGGCAGACCTGTGGGTAGAGATCTGGGTGCCCATAGGTCTGGATGCCACCCTGAATATTTGTTCAGGAGAATGTGCTGGCTACATAGGACAAGCATGACGTGAGGTTACATTCTTGTGAAGCGAGGGGAGAGGAGTGGGCCCAGCTGAGAAGTGGGAAGGCACCCAGGACATATGAGGAGGGTACTATGAGAAGCCAGAGGTGCAGGCTGGGACGAGCACCAGGTGGCCAGGGGATCCCTCTCTCTGTTAGAGGCTACATTTGAGGGACCTGGATCGGAGCCCAGTTGGAGAAGCAGGGGGGATAGGGAGCCAGGGTGACTGCTGCAGGGAGTCTGAGGCCAGCAGGCCAGGGTCAGCAAGTGGTTGTGGAGAAGAGACTAAGCGAGGCTTTAGGGCAACTTCCAAGTGATTCATGCAGTGGCATCAGCTGAGAGGGAGACTCAGGGTGCCAGTCTTGGGCCTGTCAGATGTGCAACATGTCAGTATTTCCAGGGACATTCCTGGCTGATGTAAAGACTGGGAATAGATTGAAGTCCCATTTAGTGGTCTAGAGAAAGGATGAGGCACCCTGGAAGCGGGGAGACTGGAAGCAGGGAAAAAAGGGGAAGCCAGTGGCCTGAAACTGGTGGTGGGAGTGACCACCATGTTGTTACAAGGGTTGAGCCCAGCATAGGGTATCAGCCTGCCCCCAGCCCTGAGTCACCTCAGGATGTAGCCAGGATGACACGGCTTCCTCCAACTGCAAAGGCAAGTGACAGACGTCCTCCAACTGGGCAGACAGTCACGTCCTGCTGGAGGGCAGCCAGCCAGCACCAGCCTGCAGGTTGGGTGTGGGTTGGGTTGATGGGATATCCAACAAGCATAGCAGGATGCACCCCCCCACACCCCCAGTTGAGGGAAGCAGGGGCAGGGGGGTTAGGGCCTGGTGGGCAGAGGTGGGTGGGGTGGGAACCCTGGTTCTGGGACCTTGTTTCGACAAGCTGGCTGCTGGTGACTTGTTCTGGTTAGGTGGCCACTGGAGGGCACTCAGTTTGGGGTTAACTTGTGAAAAGACCTCCAGTTCCCCTGAGCAGAGTTGGTCACATTATGTCTCCGGGATTTGAGATTTGCACCCTCAGGGTGAGTCAGCTACTGATCCTGTAAAACTGATCCCTCCCTCCTCCTTCCTGCTGTCCTTTCCTTTTGCCCTTTTAACTTTCTTAGACACCCAGGAGAATGGGGAGTGAAGGGGTTGGTGGAAGAGGGTGCACTGCACTCTGACAGGAACAAGTGTTTGCAAGGGTTCCCCATGCCAGACCTCAGAGATTTGGTTACAACAAGGTGCCTGGCTTTCTCCCTACACAAAACTTAGGGCATAGATGAGTTGTTTAATCTAGGTAAGAAGTAGAATCCTCAGGAACTGTTAAGACAGCCTTTTCTGCTGGGTGATCTAAACATAGGGCTGTTTGGTGAGGCCATTGATCCCATCAGCACCTGGCTTTATTTATGGAAAAGTGGACTCCTCTGGGTTCTGAACCCAAATCCAGCCCAGTGAGGAGGATGAGTTATCCCAGATGAGCTAAGTCAAACAGTGAACTGACAATAGATGTTGCTGGGTGGTAGAAAGTAAGAAGCCAACCGAAAGGCCTCTGTTCACCTGCCTCTGGAAGAGTGGTTTTGGACTGTTGAACCTGGGCCACCTGCTTCTACCCTCAGGATGCCCAGGACAGAATTCTGAGCCTCTCCTGGGTGCAGCAGCACTTTTTTGCTCTTTGTGGAGCCTGGAACGCTCCCGACTGGGTTCCTCTTAATTTTTTCCAAATTGCAATATATAGTTACTGGGATTGACTCCCTCTGGGCCACTGGGATGTTTCCTTTTCTCTTAGAGGAAATGATCTTTCCTGTTAACCTGGCTTAGATGTGTATTAGAGTGAAGTTTCTGGCTTTGAGTTGAAAATAACTTTTTCAGTTAGAAAAATAGTTGGCTGGAAGTTGTTCCAAGTTACAGTGCTGACAGGGCAGACTCTGGGAGGTGGGCATTGAGCCCTTCTGCTCTCACATTGGTTAGTGGGAACCTGAGCGCATTTGTAGATGTACAGTCGTCGTCCCAGCCTGGCACTGGCTGAAGCTCAGAGAAGCACATGGAATTGTCTGCATACAGCATTGCTGAAAGTTTGTTACATGGGACAGAGGGTCTGGCACGGCCTTTGATGCTATGGAAGGGCAGTTTTGGGTGCTGAGCATTCATGCTGGCCTCAGGCCCACAGTGAGGGGAGGGCTTTGTTGTCAACCCCAACTGGGTTCCCTGGAATCCTAGTCTATCTGCTGTGACTGCAGAAGTTGCCCGAGTCTCAGTGAGTTACAAGCACCCATTTTAGAGTAGGTCATTTGAAAGCAGTTGTTTTAAAAACTCTTTTCATGGGTAGGAAACTATTCTGTACCATTTTCTCAAAGCTAGCTGTCATTTTCCTGGTTAAAATGACTTTAGATACCTACTACACCTCTGTCTTTTGTGTGAAGTGATACAGTGCTGTTCTGAGGGTGCTCCCTGTGCACAGTGAGGGGAAAGGGGAGAACTGCTGAGTTAGTGTGGTGCCTGCTAGTCTTCCTGCAGGTGGTCAAGACTTCCCAGTGTGGATGCAGGGTTTTGAAAATGGAATCAGATTTCAGATGCATCTGCGGCAGTGGGGTCATGCTTATGAGCATGGAGCCTGGAACTTACCCACCTTCACTGCATCTCTGGTAGGGGTGGAATGAGAGAGAGGTGGTGGCCGGAGCTGGCACAAGCCGTAAGGTTTGTTTGAGAGGGGAGCCCAAGCCAGATTCTCTTACAGTGTCATTCTCTTGGCCTTATCAAAGATCTGTCAGAGCTGGACAGTACCCTGGAACCCCACATTTTTCCTAAGAGAGTAAGGCCCATAGAAAGAAGATGGTTTACTTAACCATTCCCCGACTTTCTCTCAAGGTGATGATAACATCACCTCTACATTTATGCTGTGCCATATGTGTTAGCTCCCTGGCTGGGGATCCAACTCGGGCTGTCTCAGTGAAAGCACTGAGACTTAACCCCTAGGCCACCAGGGAGGTCCCGCCCTCACTTAATTTTTGAACAGAAGGTTTGGGAACTAAAATTTCCCTGAGGTCTGGACCCTCCCTGGTGGCTCAGTGGGTTAAAGCACAGCCACTGCAGCATGGGTTTGATCCCCAGCCAGGGAGGTGACACACATGGTGCAGCACACCTCTCCTGGCTTGCCTACTGCTCCCCTCAGCAATGTATCTCACTAGATCTGTCTGTTCTGATCCCCACTCTGTCTCTGGTGAATTCTCTCCCCCCTGCACCTCTGGCTTATACCCCAGTTCATGTATGCATAAATAAATCCTTAAAAAAAAATTCCCCGATGTCAGACTCTGATGCCATCTCTAGAGAAGTGTTCCTCTTTGTTTGGACCCCAAGTGGGACTCTGAAATGATCTTTTTCCCATCTCTTGTCCTGGCTCCCCAGAAGTCCAGAGAGGTGCCCAGGCCACCTTGACCTTGCTGATGGTGACTACACCTTTTGAGCTTGCTTGGAGGGGAGGACCAGAATCCACGAGAATGATGGCCTGGTCTTTCTGCATATCCCAGTCACCTTGTCCCATCACACCATGTGTCATGGCAGGCAGATCCTCATAGCCCCAAAATCTGGCCTGGGGATGTGAGCAAAGACCCCTCTTTCCCTGGAACCTTTTATTTCCCATTTGCTGAGAGCAGGTCCTTATAGGGGTGGGAGGGGCTCAGGCTCTGTGGGAATGTGAGCTCCCAGCTCTGTAAACAGCTGTGACTCACCACACAGCTATGCCCTGGCGGCTCCAGGCCCGTGTGCTGACGCTGAGGGGGCTGGAAGAGATGCCCGCCAGCCCCTCCTCTCAACATGGAAAGTTTCTCATGGCTCTCCTGGCAGCCTTCTCTGGCACAGCCTTGACCCCAGTACCGGGAGGGAAGAGTGGGTTTTGGGCTATCAGAAGCAGCTCTTGCCTCCCTGCTAGGATCACCCCATACTGCTGCTTGTCCTTTTCAGACTTGAGTATGACCTCATGAGGGTGCGCAGGCCTGGCAGAGGATACTCCTAAAGGCAATAGCCTGCCCTTCTTTCGCTGCTGCCCACTCCATAATCCATCCCTCCCCTCAAGAGTGTGACCAGGTGTTGCTAAGCCCTTGTGTCTCATGTGCATCCTCTGGGAGCAAAGGATGGTCAGCACAAGGGTGCCAGGGGCCCTGGCTTTGGGCAAGGGAAGGTGGAATAGTTGTCTTGCTCATGCCCCTTGAGGGAGACTTTGCTGTGACTCTGTCCCCTGGGCCCAAGTGCATCTCTCAGTTCACCTGTCTGCCATTTGGAATGTGGGCAGTATACACCTTGATCCCTTAAGCTGGTGATACCACCTGCCAGCAAATCTGGTCCCCATTCTCCTGCTGCCCTACTGAGCCTGTTTACTGTCCTACAACCTCGTGATGTCTGCACGGGCAGCCTGAAGCCATGGCTGCTTTGGGCTTCTCTGTTTCCATGACGACCATCAGGGGTTGGCTACTTCCCAAGGTCGCCATGACAACTATCAGAGGGGAATCATGCTTGGGATGCTTTGGCTGGCTTTTTCATGAATGATTAGAATGTGTGACACAATGCAGACGCGAGAATGAGAAGGGCGGGGGCTGGCGGTGGGTGGCTGGGACCGCTCCCACCAGACAGTAAGCTCAGTGAGGTGGCAGCTCCCTGCCTCTCCTGGTCTCCCCCTGTTGTTGGGAGCCCCCACCCACCCTGGGCCTCAGTCATGGTTGTAGGGCAGCCCCAGAGGCCGTGGTGATGTCACAGCTGCAGTGCCCTTTGCGGAGGTAGGTCTGCCGGCGAGGGCTGGGCAGGGCTCTACATCCATCGTTGGGGTGAGACTTTCACAAGGGTAAGGCTTCCCATTGGGACCCTTGCTCTTGAGGATCCTGTCTGGGCCTGGAGTGCAGGGCTCTTGCAGGGTCACTTCTGTCCCTGACAGCTTCTCAGATGCTGTGCCGTTCTCAGGGCTTTGCTGCTATTTTGACCCTAAATGTGGCGTCTTATGCCACACAAGTGCTGACATCGGAGTTCAGGAGGGAGTCAGAACAGGAAGCGATACCTGCTCACACCTGGTGTCACCCCCAGCACTGACAGCTTGCAGCACCAGCCCGGTGGGTAGGGGGCAGCAAGGGATAGCTGTGGGTCAGGGACTTTGTGGGAGCTGATGTTGGATTGGGGGGTATAGCTAGGTTTCTGCCTTGTCACCCTTGGCGGGATGTCTTCCACTCGGATGGATGGGGCCCTGTCTGGTTTTGTGGTCCTTTTTTCATTGTGACTGGCCAGTGAAGAGTCTAGACTGTTTCCTGGGAGCACTCTGCTGTGAGGGCCTGCTGTGCTTGGGTCACTTGTGACAGCAGCCTGGCCAGGACCTAACCAGCTTGTTCTATTTTGTGGTTTTCTAGTCACGATTTCCAAGTGGTTCTGTCCAGGTGACTGTGCCCAGGTTATGACGACTACTCCCAAACCTCACAAGGCATTAAAGGTAAGTGAGGTGGGGCCAGGCTTGTCTGCCTGGGCACACGCCTGGAAAGGCCCCTTCTAGCCCTGGCGGACCCCCAGCACCAGGGAAGGAGTGGTTTTTTGGCCTAGAAAGACACTCTGCCTTGGACGTCCAGGGAAATGACTCCCGGTAGAGGGGCTGGTGGGGTGGCTGCCTGCTGGCAAGGACTGCATCCTACCTAGGGCCTGGCTGCCAGAAGTACTGACTCCCCAGCTGGCCTCACAGAACTCCTGGCAGGGCTAGCTGACCTTAGCCCCTTCCAAGGTCCTACCAAGCAGGGGTAGCCCTGTCTTGCTAGACCTGGCTTCACCTTAACAAGCCCAAGGGGAGGAGGATAGGCAACTAACTTTTCACTTTTGGTCCTGTGCTGGGTCTGGAGATGTCCAGAGGACGGCCATGGCTTGGCCTGTAGTAATGGGATGATGGCCAGATATGGCGAATGCCCCCTCCTCAGATGACCTGTATTGTTCCATGTAGACACTGTTGACTGGCCCATCCCTTCATGGCAAAGTGAAGGCCAGCTCGGGGTGCATATGGGGAATACAGGCCATTTTCTGTGCTGCAGGATCTGGGATCTTCACTACAGTGGTGCTTACTGTGGTGAGGACCCTTGCGGCCCTTTTCTCCCAGAGCTGCTCCTTAGGCTGACATCTTGCTGTGGCCCCTGTAGGTCAAGAAGGAGGTGGGCGAGAACGCCCCAGTGCTCAGCGATGATGAGCTGGTGTCCATGTCGGTGCGGGAGCTGAACCAGCACCTTCGGGGCCTCACCAAAGACGAGGTGGTGCGCCTGAAGCAGCGCCGGCGCACACTTAAGAACCGTGGCTACGCCGCCAGCTGCCGCATCAAGCGGGTCACACAGAAGGAGGAGCTGGAGCGGCAGCGGGTGGAGCTGCAGCAGGAGGTGGAGAAGCTGGCGCGTGAAAACAGCACCATGAAGCTGGAGCTGGATGCACTGCGCTCCAAGTATGAGGCCCTTCAGACCTTCGCCCGCACTGTGGCCCGCGGGCCCATCACGCCCACCAAGGTGGCCACCACCAGTGTCATCACCATCGTGAAGTCCACTGAGCTCTCCACCTCTGTGCCCTTCTCGGCCGCATCCTAGTGCCTGGCCGATGGGGGCAAAGGGGTGGGCACTGGTGGTGGACATGTCCCTCATGCTTGTTGGAGGGTCCCATGGGAGCAGCCTCCCAGCTCTCCCTTTTGGGGCGAGGCTATAGGTACAGGATGAAGATTAGGGTCTTGGGAACCTGTGTGCTGCACACCTTCCCACATGCACACGCACATGCACCCCGCCTTCTCTGGGCTCAGCCAGGGCTCTCCAGACTGTTCTCAGGGGTCAATGGCTTATGCTGGGAGGGGGCGACGTCAGGATGTGGGAGCAAGGTCCTCAGAAGGGTCCTGTCCCCCAGCACTGTGACCCATCAGCAGGAATCAGTCTTCCACCCCTCCTGTGAGCAGCCTGTCAACACTTGCAGGCAGCGTGGCCCCCACTGCCCGCAGGCCGGTGCCTGACCCCTTCTAGCCCTGACTGAGCTCGGCCACCCCAGGAAGAGCCGCTTGCCCCCGGTGTCAGCATGCACCGTGACCCTGCTTTGGCCTCAGCCAGAGACCTCTGCCCCTGGGTGGGTGTAACAAGGGCTGCGTAGGGGGTGTGTGTATTTCTGTATGTGCATGTGTATGTGTGCGTGCTTGCACACACATGCTCGCCGTGCTCATACATGTGCCTGTAGTCACACCAGGACCCCAGTGTCACTTAGTGGGGGCTCAGGCATAAGTGTTGAGAATTTTCCTGTGATGATGAGGTGACTTGCAGGAGGTCCCCAGTGAGGAGCAGTAGCTGCCTGGCATAGGAGCCAGCCTGCCCAGATGCTGCCCCAAGGAGACCCTGGGGGCTGGGATGTGGGAAAGGGAAGATGTTTCTTGTGGGTGGTGTGACGTTGAAGATGGTCTCAGGAGTGGCTGTGGAGCAGAGTGGCTCTGTTGGAGGAAGCAGGTGAGCAGGGAGACAGGTGGGGGTCAGAGGATGAGGTGAGATGGGGTCAGAGACGGGCACTGGGCCAGGACAACAGCATGGACTGCTCCCAGGGGCACCTGGCTGGTCAGTTCAGAAGGGACAAGGGGACTCTGCAACTTTGGTGCTTAACTGCCTGGAACCTTCACCTGCTCTTTCTTTCTGGAGCTCTGAGCCATTGATGATCTTGGTGACCTTTGCTGGGGCACCTCTTCCTGTCCTTCCCGTGAAGATGCTGAGACACTGGGTCCTGGGGCTCTGGTCTGGGTGAACTGAAAACCCTTCCACAGGCTGGAAGCTGCAGGGCTCCAGCTCCTGTTGTCCACTTGACCTGATCCCCACCACCCAGAAAGATCCCCAGCAAGCTGCAGAGCCCTGGGCAGGTGTCAGCCATGCCAGGAGAGGATTGAGAACAGCTGGCCCCAAGGGCTGTGTCTTGCTTCTGTGTCTACTGTCAGCAGCCAATAGAAAGCCTTGTAACCTTGTTCCTGTTCTGGTGAAGAAAAAGGGTTTGGGAGCACCCAAACGACCTGGTGTTTAAAAAAAAAAAAAAGCTGTTGATACCATAGCCATGGTAGGTAATCCACATTGGATGTCAATAAGGGCCATGGGGAAATATTTAAGAGAGAGAGAGAAGTATATATATATATAGTATATATATATATATAGTATATATATATAAAATTATATACACATTTTATCGTACAGATTTTTCGTAACTTCTTTTCCTGTTTGATACTGTAAATGTTAGTGCAGAGCTGCACTTGAATGTGGGTAGGATAGGGGTGAGGTGCCCTTTCCTGGCTTCCACATGCCAGCCAGCTCCGGGCTCTGAGGAGGAAGGCTGCGTGCACCTCCTCCCTTGGTCTTCCTGCCTGCCTTTCCCAGTGGGGTCCCAGGGCTGCCTCCCCCACCCCAGTCTGGTGTCCTGCTGGGCTGCCACACCCCTGGGAAAAGCACTGTCCAGTATAGGGTCCTTGGAGCTCCTTGTCCTTTGAGACAGGGTGCTGGTTGCTGCCCTCGCCTCTAGGCCGGAGGGAGCAGCTGTGGCCACGCGGTGAGGACGCAGCCCCTGCCTGTCCCCTTCCCGGGGCCTGGGGCGGACGATGAGCACGTTCCCTTGTGCTTTTCCTTTCGGATCATTGAAATTTCATTGTCACAGTTTTAATATATGGATTTTTTTTTTTTTTTTTTAATTTAAGAAAAAAGGCAAGGCCCTCTATCAGGTGGAGGCCGCTTTTCCTGTCTCCTGTGCTTCTGGCACCTGTCCTTCCCAGTGAAGGCTCGCCTTGGCCGTTTCCAGGTGACAGGGCCTCCTGTAAGCTCAGCACCACCTTCCTCGCCTCCGTGGCCGCTCAGCAGTTTCATTTCAATATTTATTTTTGTGCTGCTTCTATCATGTTATAAATTATTGAAAAGATCCTGTGTTGTGATCCTTGTTCCTGTGACATGTGCCCATGCCCGCCCTGTCCCCTCATGGCCACCACCTAATTTATTGCCGTATGTCTCTGCTGTGACGCTTTTGTACCTTTCAATAAAGTTCTCTGGTTTCAGATCTGTCTCTTGCGGTTGGTACTTTGGACCACATGCCACATGGTGCTGCAGTCCTCCACCCCAACTTCTACCTCTGGTCCCCCGTTGCTGGTGCTCACCTGGACGCCAGGCCTGGTGTTGAGCACTCTGGAAAGGGCCTCCCCCCTGCATACCTGGATGTTTTGGGTTCCATAGGACAGCCACCAGGGGTAGGGGGGTGTGTCAAGAGTTGGAGGCAACCTAGGTACACTCTGGCTGGTAGGCAGAGTTCACAGCTGTCCCCTCTGCCCTGACCAGATGCTCCTGTCAGAGCAGCTCTCTCCCTGGGCAGTGTCCACCAGTTGTGGGCCAGACCTCACCTGGTTTTGTCAGGGATGGGGATTTTGCAGAGTGTTGAGAAGACAAGACTGTTAGGGCAGAGAGCAAAGCATCCTGTGTGGTGACCTGAAGTAAGCACCAAAACCAGAGCTAAGGGTCGGGCCTCTGCTTAGCCCACACAGGGAGCCTGGAGTTGGAGAGCTCTGCTTTAGAGATTATACAAGCACCCATGTATGCCCTTGGGAAGACTGACCCAAGGCACCTCATGCCTTTATTGTCACCACCACTGCCTGTGGGGACTGTGACCATGGAGGGCTGACCTCTGTGGAGCTGGTCCACCTCTTGCAGCTCCGTGACCTTGCTCAACCTCGCTGGGTTGAAGCTGTTGTAAAGACCAGTGGCCCCGAGACTTCTGGCCCAATCCTTGGCACACATTGGGTGTTGAGCAAATGCCCACTTCCTTCCCCTCATGAAGCCCATCAAGGCTATCCCAGCAGATGGGCCTGACCCAACAGTACGAGCCCTGGCTCTCCTGCACCCACTTATCCTCTGTACATAGCTTTGTGCAACTCAGGCCCCAAAGGGGCAGCCCTCCAGGTAAAGACTGCTCTCGCCCCCAAAACACACAGCTGAGCAGCGTCTTGACTCTTGCACCCTCCAGATAACCTCCCTGCTTGCTTGCCAGGTCTCCAGGGAGCTCCTTGTGTCTTTCTGCTGACTGAGATGGGCAAGAACCTGGCCATGGAAGCCACAGGGGAGGGGTGGGTGCCCGCTGTGGGTCTGCCAGGCTCCAAGGCCCTGATAAGACAGTGGAGACTTGCCAGCAGCGCCGCAGGAGGAGGCTCTGCCTATCTTATCAGGCCGTCCAGCTGGGCCCTGTGTGAAGCTGCTGGCCTTGAGCCCCCAGGCTCAGGGACAGGAGGCAGGGGTGACCCCCTTCGGGCATGGATGCTTGGTTAGTTCCCACTCTTGTGAGTTTCTGAGACCCTCAGTGCTTCTCCCACTTCCCTTGTGAATGTGGGAGCTGGCAGCCAGGAGGTGGGGTAGGCTTCACTGGGTGGTGCCCGCCTGGCCTTCCTGTTGCATCGGCCTGGCAGCAGGCTCTGGCGCCCAGGCCCCTGCCATCTCCCCTGTACCCTTCCCCCAGCACCCACCCCTCCCAGTACACACCCAGACAAACAGACCGGCCATGACTTGTACCCCACTGCAATGCCTCTGCCCCTGCGGCCCCTCCCCATGTGCTCCCATGCTCCTGCAGTAGGCCCCAGGTTCCCTCAGTCACTGCAGTGTCCTAAAGGCAAGCCTGTGCCCCAGGCTCCGCTCTCCGGATCCCTGAGCTCTCATCCTGGACACCAGCTGGCCACCCTGAAACAAGTGAAGGAAGGCCTCCCTACCAGAGCCTGAGCACTCCCAGCCTTGGCCAGCCTCGTCATGTACTGCTGGCGAGGCTGGCAGGGGGCCTGTTCTATGGAGGCAGAAGTCTCAAGGGCAGGTGAGCTGGGATCCCTGTGAGCAGGCAGTGCATTTGGTTTTAACCAGCATGCTTTGCCCCATGCTGCTGGGGTGGATTGGGAGCCTCCCATACCCTGACCTACCTCAGTAGCCTCGCTTGTCACCTCACTGCACTAACCCTGCAAGAACAGAAGCCAAAGAACCACTAGGAACTCAGGGTGTTTGTGTATAAATAAGCTCCATTCCCTGAAAATAGCCCCCAGGGGCTTCTCAGACCTGCCTTGTGGGTGGGGGAACTCTGAGGTTGGGGGTCTGGTAGGCTGTTTGGGAGCTGTGGAGCAACCTAAGCCTTCCTCTCACAGACCCAGGAGGGCCACAGCAAGACCCTGTCCAGTCAGTTCACCTCCAGTAGTGTGGCCCCCACCCACCGATGTGCTCATCTCTCCAGTGCTTCCCCTCCACACATTCGTTCTTTCTGCAGCTGACCAATCTGAAACTTGTCCATCCAGGGACCTGATTGCCAAGTGGATCCAGAGGGTCCCTGGTACCCCAGATACGCTCAGGTGCTCTCTCCTAGGACTGCAGACCCACTCGGTGGCCCCTGGACATCCAGCAGAGTCTCTCAGCCCCTTTCCGCCAGTGGGCAGTAGGATGGGCAGTGGGCTCCACAGATCTGCAAGAGGGCTCCTGGGAGATGCTTGACCTTTGGCAAGAGGGCTGGTGGGCCAGGGACCCTGTCCTTTCCCTCAGGCTTGGTCTGCATGTCCCATTAGGTGACCTCATGGCCCCTCTACAGTTCCTCCGAGGGGATCAGCATCCTCTTCTCGAGTTTGCGACTCTTCCTGCCCCCACCAGAGCCACCCACAGCACTGGGGTAGGCGCTGGGTGAAGGGTGCCCTCCTTGGCTGCGTCCTGGGGCCTCATGCGTGGCCTGCTGTGTGTAGTGCTGGTAGGCGGGTGAGAAGTTGTGGATGGCATCCTGCACAATGTCCTGTGGGCTCATGGTTTCCTTGAGGCCACTGGATATGCTCTGCATGGGCGCCGGAGGTGCTGGGGGTGGCAAGCAGCATGTGGTGAGGACCTCCCAACTCCTGTCATAGAGTCAGCCCCCCGGGGACATTACCCTGCTCCCCGCAGGCCTTGGGGATACCTAGGGATGCTGCTCCTACATGCCTAGGTCCTAGCCTTGGTGGGCCTGGAGCCCCCAAACCTAAGCCCTAGCACTGGGGCCCCAACCTGGAATCCCTACAGGCGCCACAGTAGAAGAATGCCTTGACTGACGCCCATCTTCTCTTGGGCCTGGGGTGAGGGCACCACATATTCCATGCTGCCTAGTAGCCACCTGGGCAGGATTCACTAGGTGCACTGGCACCAACCAACAACACCCTGGCTTCTCCGGCCAGGCCTGGCCAAGCACCTGGGTGTGGTGTGCGGGACACCCCAGATGCAGAAGCATCAAGCCCCTGACACTGGAGGTCCCCAGGCTCAAACATCCGGTCTAGCCCACCTCATACCAGCTGCCAGCCTGCCTGGCCTCTCCAGCTGGACCACGTGCACACAAGTTAACTGTCCTGGGCTCACTTTATCCACGGGAATATCTCCTTGCCCACCAAATAGAAATTCCCAGCCTATGAGTGGGACAGCACTGAGGGGAGAACTGGCTGTCACCCCCATCTCAGGACCACAACTGTGAAGTTCGCTCCACTCTCTTGGCAGGACCCAACGTACCTGGCAAGTTCTCCTTTTTCTCTGAGTACACCTGGCAGGTGAAGGCGTAGCGCAGAGCAATGGCGGCAAAGAGCATCTCGATGCAGATGATGAAGTTCTGATAGCCAGCTGCCAGTGTGCCGGCGCCCACTTTGGTTCCATCGACGACCTGGACCTCAGGGATGACCCCACACCTCTCCAGGATGGCCAGTAGCATCCCTGGGGATGGTGACAGTCCCTCAGGCACCCTCCTGGATAGGAGGGTGGGCAGAGCTGCCCCCAGCCATGAGCCCTATTGAGGCCAGCCTCATGGGCATGGCAGGGATCTGAGGAGAGGGTGAGGCCACCCTGCACTAGAGGCTTACCAACCAGCCCTGTGCCATGGTGCATGAGCTCCCATTCCATGGAGCCAAAGTCAGAGGAGCCAGATACCTCCAAAGCTGGGGTGTTGGCACAGCGATACCCAGGAACTCCCCAAGTGCCCACTCTGACCTCTGTAACTCCAGACTATGTGCACCCCTAGCTCCACCCCAACTGTCCAGTGCCCATCCTCCAGACCAGGGTCTGATGGGGACAGGGCACCCCCTGTCCTCTGTGTGTCCTATCCACAAACCTGCCAAGCGGAGAGCTTGCTGTTCCCCTTCTACTCCCTGGGGAAACAGGCTGGGCTTGAGGGCACCACGGACCTGAGGGTGGATGTGGGACTTGAACCCGAGATCTCTGGGCTCCAACCCTACCCCAGAAAGCCCACCTACCCTGCCAGAAAGAGAGGAAGATGACTGCTTTGATGGTGAGGAACTTGAGGACAGGTTCAAAGGGCCGCAGGAGCTCTTTGGTGGCGAAGTAAAACAGGAACAGGGCATAGAGGGCCAGGCTGACAGACACGTTATAGATGAGCGTGACGTAGAGGTAGCCGCTGTGGATGCTGAGGGTGGAAGCAGGTGTCAAGAGAGGCAGGGTCGGCCCTGCCCTCTTCTGCTTTCCCCATCCTTATCAGTGATGCCATTTGCCCCACTGCCATTCCCACCTCGAACCTGGGCACCAGCCTCCCAGGTCTCGATCCTCCCCGGGCTAACAGGTGGAGGGGACTCCAGTGTCAGGGGAGTGACCGAGAAGCTGGGGGTGGAGTGTGGGCAGGAGGGTGTCAGGATGGCAAGGCTGTGGGGCTGCCCTCCTGCCCCTCCCCCAACCACTTGCACAGCCTGAAAGCCTTGGCCTCTATGTTGAGGGTACACAGGCAGGCATGTGTCCTTGTGTGAGCGTGTGGCTGTGCGTGTGAGTGCATGAGGCTGTACACACGCACGTACATGTGTGCGTTACTGGGTACTTGTGTAGGTGGGCAGGAGCATGTGCACGTATAAGTGAGTGTGTGTGTGCATGAGTCCCCGTGTGTGTGTGCACGTGTGAAACTGTGTGTGCACATACAATTGCATAGGGTGTGAGTGTGTGCATGTGTGTGCTCCCACGTGTGTGTGTGGTGAGTGCATGGACTCGATGCAGAATTCTGAGAGTGTGCAGGGCAGCCCTGCCCATTTCTACGCTGCCCCAGTGGCCAGTGAGGGCTCTGCTCCCTTGGCCTGAGTGTCCTTAAATCCACCCTGTGCTCTCCCTGGGGTGGGCTGCTGCAGGGTTGGAGATGTGGGAGGCTGCCAGTTTCCCAGACAAAGGGAGCAGGCTAGGCAAGGAGACTTTGCTGCAGAGGGAGTCCTGCATCGGGAACCAGCACCTGCCCTTCCTGGCTCACTATGCAGCCGCGCTGAGCTCTCTACTGAGCCCTGCCTTCTTCCAACCACCTCCTGCCAACCCCCACCCCCACAGGCTGAGCCCACCTCTCCCTCTGGCATGGCAGCTTGTCCTTACTTGAAATCCCCATCGTGGTATTTGTCAAATGCCTGCAGGATGATGGTAATCACGGCCATGATGGGCTTCACAACGCAGAACTGCAGTGTGGCCTGGGAGGGGGAAGGTGGGAGGGCTGTGGCCCCAACCTTAATGGGCTTAGGAATGGTGTATGGGGCCAGCACACCTCCCACCCCAGCCCCCCACCCCCAACACCCCCCCCCACCCACACACACACTGAGCAGCAAGAGACAGTGGGAGGTGGCTGGAAGGGGCCGAGAAAGAAGCAAGCCTTGTCTCACCTGCTTGCAGAAGCGCAGGAACCCGATAGAGTAGGACATGCCCCCCAGGCAGCAGGTGCCGTAGAAGCAGCTGGACCTGCAGAGGGGAAGTCCCTGAGGCCACGTCCCCAGCCCAGATGGCTGCCTGGCCTGGAGGGGCCTTGATAGGCTCATCTTGGTAGGTGAGATGCTTACCGGATGGGTTTTCCCCGAATCTCAGCCATGATGGCACTCTCGCCCCCCAGGTACTGGAAACAGAGGCTCAGGAAGCTGTAAATGACAAAGGCTGCGGAGCAGGGGTGGTGGTTATGGGCCCAGCAGTCCACCAGGTTCTCAACCTGCATGAAGGATCCCCCCTCCCCACCCTCCACTCTGGCCCCCACAGACTCTTTGACACCTACTTCATGGAGGACATGCTCCCAGCCTGGCCCTGGAACCACATGCCACCCAGCAGGGGCAGGACCCGTGGCAGTCCACTGCAGCTCTAATGCCCTCCCCCACTCATCTAGAGCCCTGTTTGTCTTGTTCTGTGAACCCAGGAGTCTTGGTTCCATGCTGGCCAGCTCACCCTTGGCATTGCTAATCCTGGCAATCAGGCAACCCCTTCAGGGGTGTGGGGTGCCTCCAGGCTGGTGCTGGGAGTTCATGCCCCTGGAAGCTTCTCCATGCACCCTTTGGGGGTCATGGCATGGCTTGGAGCGCGGCGGCCTCACCTTCATAGCAGTCACGCACAGAATCGAAGTAGATGTAGTGCTGGTGGTTCCCTAGGAGGAGCAGGCTGAGCCAGGAGTCGAAGGCATAGATGGGCACAATGAAGAGGAGGCGGATGATGTAGCGCTGCTCGTTGGGGACTGTATAGGAGCGCAGGTGCAGGTAGATCTGGGTTTGAACAAGAGCAGCTGGGAAACAGGTGCACCTGCCATGCTACATGGGCAGCCTGAGTGGGGTCTTTCCTGGCACCAGACATCCCTTCACCTGGTAGGATGCTCTGCAGTGGGGCCTTGTATTCATTCATTCATCCGTTCGTTGATTCATTCATTCAATGAGAAGCCTCTGAGCTCTACTAGGGGTAGATGGGGCGTTTATAGCCCACAAGGGAGCACGGGCATGGGGAAAAATGACCCTATATTTCAAATGGGGCATAAAAGGGCTCTGCTCCCTCCTGGGTATTTGTCCTATGGAACAATTTCTTCAGAAATAAAAGATCTGTGTATGAGGCATGTGCAGAGCCCTAGGGGACCCACACAGAGCGGTAGGCTCAGCTGTTGACACTGTGCACAACCACAGGGGAGTATTATACTGTCAGTAAAATGATACTCCTGAATGCCAATGTGGGGAAATTCTCCGATAGGATGTGATATGTAAACATTGACAAATGCAGCAGGACCCAGTCCATGGTGAAAAGGTGAAACACATCCCAGTCTTATCCCTGAGCAATATGGTGATACCCATTTTTGTCTGTAAACCTTAGATTTCCAGTGATTTCTATGAGGACATGACAAAATAGTGACACTGTCCTTTTTTTTTTTTTTTTTTGCATAGAAGAAAGAACTGGGATGTAGGCCAGAGGTGGGGAATGATGAGAGGATTCACAAGAGATGGAGTGGGGAGCAGAACAGGCAGATTTTACAGTGACACTGTCTTTAAGAAGAAGCAGAGATGGAGAGCTGGCCACAAAGGCCCCATAGCACCTCCAGCAGGCTTCCTGGAGGTGTGCCCTGAGTGGAGGTGGAAATCGGACAAGTGAAGGACAGGCCAAGGGGAGGAAACAGTGTATGCAGATACCATGTGGTCCAGCTCCCTGGGGCACATCACGGGGGTGACTGCTGGCTGGTAGCAGGCACAGGCTCCTTATCAGTCACTCCCTCCCCGTTGGTGCTGTGGGAAGGACATGGCATGATCGCCACTGGGAGATTCTGCCCCCAGTGCTGGCACTGCCTGGCCAGGTGGCCTTGGCCAACTGAAGACCTCTCTGGCCTCTGGCTGTCCTGTGGGCTCTGAATGGGTGGATGGCCTGGAACTCCTCAAGAAAGAGGAACTGGCTGTGTGGAGGATCAGGGTAGGGTCAGCCCACGTGATCCATGCCACGGTGCCCTGGGCAGTAGAGCTGCACACCCCGAAGGGACTGCCCCTCCCCCCACTCTTCTACACCATAATGCACCAAGCCTGCCTAACACACTGTGTCCTGGTTATCTGAGGCTGTGAGGCAGAGCCTCTCACCAAGAAGTGTATCTGTACCTTGCTGCCTTGGCGGCCTTTGGCCACCTCCTTCCCTGCCTGCCCGTCTCCTGACTCTCTTCTGCCCGCGGTTTACCCCAGCAATCCATTCCCTATGCCAGTGCCAGCTGAACTACCTTAAAGGCAGCTCTGCTCCCAGCCCCCCAAGTCCCCAGCACTCCCAGGTTGTGGCCCAAACCACCCCGAATGTTCAAGTGTCCTCAAGTCGTCACGAGTGCCATGACAGACACCCTCAGCCCGGACAGCCTCTCACGGGCCACACAAGCTCTCCCCGGCCTGTGCTTGTGTGTGAGCCCCGCCCCTGCGTTTGGGCCCCTCCTGCTGCCACTTCCTGCCTCCCTTCCTGGGGGGCACGGTGCACCTCCATCTGGGGCGCTGTCTCATCTCCTAGTGCAGCTCTGGGGAGGGGCTAGTGCAGCTCAGGACTTGAGCCCGGCTTCTGTCCCCTGCTTCCTTCATGAGGAAACTGAGGGCAGCCCTGCTGAGGCCAGCTAGCCAAGCCCACACCCAGCTCCTACTCGTGGCTTCTGCTCCCTAAGAGCAAAGTCCAGCCCTCACCTGCTTTCCCGGCAAGCTGTCCTCCGGAGGGAAGGCCCTCCCACTCCTGCTACGGGGAAGACCCTGGGCTGACTTGCTCAGTGTCTGTCTGAGATGGGACTCAGCATGAGGCTGAAGGCCAACAAGTGTCTGGCGAAGAGCTGGCACCCAGACGGCCGCTGCCCCCTGCCTGATAGAGACACCCCTTCTTCAGGCCCAGCTCCTACTTGCTGAGTTTTGAAGGAAGCCCCTCTCCTGCCCCTGTGTCCTGGCCACATGCCACCTGTAAGAGCCTCTGGGCACTACCCCTCTGTCCAGCTGGGCCCCTCCTGTCTGCACCAAGGTTAGAGCCTGAGGCCCTTTAGTCCTGGTGCCCTACCAGGGCATGTCCCATGGAAAGTGGGACCTGAGGGAAGCATGAAGACTCACCTGGTGGCAGGTGAGCAGCAGGGCGCTCCACACAAAGATGCCCGAGATACCGTGGGCCAGCGAGGTGGTGAGGAAGAGTTGGGGTGCCCCCTGGGAGCCATTTCCCACACGGTCCATCTGTGGCTCAGCAGGAACAGTCAGTGGGGGGCTGGGCGGAGGCCAGGTTGTCAACTCCAGGGGGGCGCTGACCGTCCCCAGAAGCCCCGAGGCATTAGTCATCTGCAGAGGCCAAGGAGAGCGCAGGAAAGAGTAGGGGCAAGGTGTAGGCGGCAGCCGCAGCAGCCCAGGCGCCAGTGAGGGGGAGGGGGTGGGGGAGGGGCGGGAGGGAGGAGGCTGAGTGGGAGGCTCCAGGCGGCCTAGGACACGCCCAAGGGTGCTCTGGGCATTGATCACTGTCCTATTCAAGGGAGTTGGAGACTGGCCATTGTGCTACCTTCCCTGCTCCTGGGCAGCCCTGGGCACCCCCTCTGCTCAAGGGCCCACCCTGGAATTCCCTGGGTCCCCAGGGCTCAGCCACCCAGGCCAGAAGTCAGCTGCCTGAAGGTGTCAGGGGCTCCAGATTTAGTTTAAGTCTCCGTAAAAGAAAACCTACCTCTGCTGCCTTGGACCTGTGGGGAATTCACTTTTTAGAGACTAAAGAACTCAGAACGTGGGGGAGCCCCCGCCGGGCCAGGCTACATCTGGGAGTGGCCAGGCTGGTGCTGCCTGTAGCTGCAGAAGGTAGGGGAGGGCTCTCCAGCACCTGCTGGCTCCCAGGGTCGCCACAGGCCCTCTCTCCAGCCCTGGTGCCTGTCCTACAGCCCACTTGCCCACCTGCTGGGGCACCGGTTACCTCCCTTCTCTCCTGCTCTAGGCCCTATCTGGCCTCTGCCTCCCCTACCAGCCTGTGGTCACCGGGCCCAGCGCCTACCTCTCAGGCAGGAAGCTTCCTGCTCCGTCCTGGGAGGCCCAGCCTTCAGGGAAGCCTGGCTGGTCATCCGCCTGGCCACGTGGCCTCCTGGCAGCTGCACTAGGGGTGGGGCAAGGCCAGTAACTGGAGGCGTTACCAGGCTGAGGGAGGGGCCACGGCCTTACCTCAGGGCCCACCTGAGCCCTGGGCAGCAGGGAGGGGCCGGAGGGGAGGAGGAGGAGCCTGTCCCCTCCCCATGCTGATACTCTATCCTCCCTGGGGTTTGCTTAGCAGCAGCTGGCTCCAAGGTACCTACAGGCGCCCGGTGCCCTCACCTACCTGTGCCAGATGGCCGGGCAGTTGCTGCCAGGACCTGAGTCAAGGGGGAGGGGTCACAGGATCAGAGTGGGCTCTGTAACAAACACTGTTTCTATTTGGAGCGATGAAAAAGTTCTGGGATGAGACAGAATTGGTGGTTGTACAATAAAGTATATGTACCCAACGCCACTGAATTATCCACTTAAAAAACTGGGCAGATTTTGTTTATAGACTTTCACCTCAGTGAAAAAGTTTACAAAGTCCAGTCCTGAGAAATGCAATGGAAACGTTTGTGGGTGGGGGACGAAGGAAGCAGGTCACACTGGGTCATGTTTGGGGACCTGACTCCTCCTGCTCCATGGTCAACCATGTCCAGAGGCCCCTGTAAAAGTGGTCTCCCCTATACCCCTGGTGCTGCCTCCCAGCAGGGGAGGAGGGGTGGGGGCCTCAACCTGTCTCTGGGTACCCCCCACCCTGTTCCAGCTTCAATGTGCTGCAGGACCTGCGTCAGGTGCCTGCCCCGTGCCCACGACAGAACCTCACACCCCCTGATGCCCCCCAGTTCTGGGCCATAGGCTGCAAAGCCTGAATTGCTGGTGGGAACTGGGGCTCAGAGAGGTTCAGCCACATGCGTGAGCAGGACGGAGCCTATCAACCCCTGGGATGCATCAGCCCCTGCTCCCTCAGCCCCTCAGCTGCACGTGCCCTCTGGAGCCCCCAGCCCAGAACATGCCCTGACGCTGTGCCCTCACTCCCAGATAAAACGTTCAGGCCTTGCCCCTCCTCTCTCCAACCCCCCTTCTAGGTCAGAACCTCTGATCCAACTTTTCTACCGGCAGACTCTTTGTCCTGCTATCTCCTGGTCACCTTCTCTGTCCCATCACCCTCTTCGAATTCCTCCCGAAGGGCCTCCCTGGTGGCACAACAGCTTAAATCCAGCACTGTGAACCCATCGGCAGCCACTGCAGCACGAGTTTGATCCTGGCCAGGGAGGTGACCCACATGGCACAGCAGACTCGCCTGACCTGCCCGCTGCTCCCCTCAGCAGTGTATTTCAGTCCATCTGCCTGTTCTGTCCCCCATTCTGTCACTGATGAGTCCTCTCATCCCACACCCCTGGCCTGCACCCCAGGTTTTGCATAATTCATTTATTATAAATAAAATAAATCTTAAAAATAATTCCTTCTGAAATTCCCAATTTACCTATTGGTTTTGTGTGTGTTGCCTGCCTTTTCTCCATGGCAGCTTCTGGAAGCTGGTGCTGTGCTCAGCTTGGTCTGATGAGTGGGGAACAAGAGCCTTGCTGTGTGGGTGGCCTTCTGGACAGCAGGCTCCCCCTTAGGCAGTGGTGTGGGAGCGGTGGTCTATACCTTGTCCAAAGTGAGTTCCTCCTGGGTGCCAAAGGTGCTCGCCTGAGGCCCCAGCCCAACCACAGTACGGTGCAGTGCTGACGGTGCCCAGCACCTACAGGAGTTGCATGGATGCAGAGCAGCACTGGCCATGGGCGTTGGTATCATCATTAGGGACATTTATAAAGGTAGCACCTGTCATTGTCCCTGTGACAATGCCTCAGGGCCTTTGAGCGTGAAGATGCAAAAATGGGAAGGTGGACATAGTTGGAAGGGGTTCAGGTATAGGCAGGGAAACTGAAGCCTAAATCTTTTCCAGGCTGATGCTAGGGAATGACTGGACACACAGCAGGGCACATTGATGGTTAGATGTCAAAAGGACTTCCCTACGTAGAGTCACTGGGAACCAGACTTCTGGAGGGCTCTGTGGGACTCTGGCTTTGGGGTGACTCAAGGTCTGGACCCAAACACAGATAGAGGGACTTGGGAAAATCTTCCCTTTCTTCTTCAAATTATACTGTAAGAGGCCCTCCCTGGTGGCGCAGCGGGTTAAAGCACAGCACTGAGAAGCTAAAGCCACTTCCACATGAGTTCGATTCCTGCCTGCCCCGGAGGTGACCACATGGCATGGCAGACCTCTCCTGACCCGCCCACTACTCCCCTCAGCAGTGTACTTCCTCAATCTGCCCGTTCTGCTCCCCACTCTGTCTCTGATAAAGCCTCTCGCCACCCCTGAACCTCTGGCCTATACCCCAGTTCTGTATATATAAATATATCTTTTAAAACAATTATACTGTAAGAAAAGGGTGTTTCCTTGCAGATTATACTGTAATAAAAGGGTGTTTTCTGACCGGGTACAGAAACTGGGGGATCTCCCCATCTGTCCCACTGCTCCGAGGGTACATGATCCCTGGGAAGGCCCTTTTGCTCTAGGACATACCTGCTCTAATGGTGGTGGCCAGGCCCATGTTGCTTCTGGCTGTTCTCGAAACCGTCACTGCCTCCAGGAAGGCCTCCAGAGAGCTCAGGCTGTTAAGCTGGCTTTCTCCAGAACCTCCTGCACACGTTGGGAATTCACTGCTCATGGACATTTTTCGTTTGCAGCCTGCACTTCTCCAGCAGGTAGCCTAGTATACATTTTATAAAACTGGGGCTCTAACCGTGAAGCGGCCCTCTGTCATCTCCACCCTCTTTCTTCTCTGCCTTCTAACCAGTCTCTCTAGGGGCATCCTCAGCCCTTAGCCTTCTGTCCTGCCACCCCAATAGGCCCTTCACCTCTCCAGGCTTCTGCTTTCTCATTTGTAAAGATGAATTTGGTGTTCTCCAGCCCCTTCCCAGGGCTCAGCATGCAGTCCCTAATGCTGCTGGGAGACCTGGCACAATGTCCCTTCACATGCTAAGAACTCTGGGAAAGGTCACTGGCCACATTGTCCTCTCAGAATCCAGACCTCTGACCAGGCCATACCCAGGAGCAGGCAGGAGGCTGTGGGTGGATGAGAAGTGGCTGTGCCAGGAGAGGCTGGCCATCCCAAGCCTGTGCACAGGCGAGAACAGGGCTGGGTCTGGGGAAGCCAGGGACTCAGCCTCTGGGTCCTGGGGAGGGAGAGGTAGATCATTTGGTGGCCCGTGGTGCTCGCTGACTGAATGAGGCCTGACCCCCTGTGGCTGGTACCACAGCCTGCCCTCTCAGGAGAGATGGCCGGGCCAGCCAGCCTGGAGCTCCCTACTTGGGGCCTGTTACAGGACAGACCTGCCCGCCCAGATCTGGGCAGCCAGGTCCTATGACCACTGTTCACTGTGACCAAGTGACCTGTTACTTGGTGACTCCTGGCCAGGGTGTGGGGCAGCTGAGAAGCCACTGGCCAGTCGCAGAGCTCAGTGCTCTCATCTCAGTGTCTGCCTTTCACCCTAATCACTGAATGCCCTCCTTCAGGTCAGCTCGGTCTGCCCCACACCACGTCAGTCCTGTTTCTCAGCCAGCCTGCCATCTGAGGGTGTCACTGGAGGCCTGTGGCTACTCTCCTACAGCTAGGCTCTCCCCTTCTTCTTACTGTCCTGAGCCCTTCCGGCAGTTGAGAGCTGCTCTGTGCCAACAGAAATGCGGGGGTAGGACCAGCGGTTTAGGGTATTCCAATACCCTAAGCCCCCAGCTTACCCTATCAGGCTCCTTGACTTTCCCCTTGGGGTCCTCATGTTCTGGCCCCAGAGCGAGGCAGACAGGATTTGCCACTGAGCTTGTGCTGAAGCCACCCACTAGCCACTGACTCAACTAATATCCACCACAGCCCTTGGCCTGCAGGGTGGAGGGGGTTGGGATGGAGCTTGTTATCAGTCACAGGCACTGGGTGCTCAGGCCTTTAGGTTACACACATGGGAACTTTGGTGCAGAGAGGGAGGAGCAAGGGCTGCTGTGGGCTTCCAGCCCCCAGCACCATGTGGCAGGCTACAAAGTAGGCCTGGACGTGAGTCCTGGCCTGGCCACCCTCATCCTGGGGGGATGGAGCTGTTTTTTCCCTCCCTCTTAAAGGAGGGCAGGGAAACTTTGAATCCTTCTTGTCCTGGCTCTGGGACTCCTCGGGGGTGCACAGGCTGGCAATGTTGTCTCCTGGAGGCTAATAAGTTGACTCCCAGCCAGGGCATTGGCCCCAAAGCCAAGGGCACAGGGCACTCAGGTAGGGATTCTGACTTGGCCATTCCCTTTGTCTGTGTTAGGCAAAACTGGGTCTCAGGCTCAATTTCCAGGAACCCCTACATGCCAGGGCTGTGCCCGTCAGCCCTTGTCAGAGTGGGGCCTGGAAGAGTAGGCCTCCTATCAGCAGTCTCAAAGGCCCAAAGAGTGTGGTTAACTGACTGGTGGGGCTAGCATTGGCCAAACAGGTGCACTGCAGGTGGGCTTCTTTCTGCTTCCTGTCCGCCCTGTGGGATCAGGGTGGGGTTTGGGGTTCTTGTCCTCTTTGTTGGGTCCATCCGTGCTGGCTGTGACCTCCCTCTGTTGTCTCAGTCTCCAAAGGGAACCAGATGTCTGCCGGGGCCTGTCTGTACCTGCCCATTGCCCCAGAGAGAGATGCCAGCCCTGGGGGGTACCTGTCCATGTGTACTTGGGGCTAGGGTGCTGACATGGGTCTGGACTGGCTGGGCTGGCTTGCAACCCTTTGTGGTTACCAGGTGCTATCCCTGGTTTAGCAGAGGGTACAGCTTCAGGTAGAGACAGGGTAGGGCAGAGGGGCTATGACTCTCAATTTTAAGTTGTGGGCTCTCCAGGACCCCACCCCCCACCCCCTTAGGGCACTCGGGCCCTAACCTGGTCACCATTCCCTTCTTATGGACGCACACAAACACACGTGCACGAAGCAGGCGCACACACACACACACACACACACATAGCAGCTCACCTCCCCCGTGGCTCCCTCAGCCGTCTGCTTGGGCCCCCTGGGCAGGTCTGTTGTTGGTTGCCAGCCCTGAGAGATGATGGGGGTGAAGGGGGTGGTGGGGGTGGTGGGCCCCACCATACAGCCTCCAGTCTCTGAGGCTGTTGTCCAGCACTGCGGCAGCCTGCCTGTTTCAGACACTGCTGCTCTGTGAAGTTGGCCTCTCCCTAGACCTAGAAAACTCTGCTCGCCCTGCCTGCCCTGCCAGGCCGGCCCTACCTGTCCGGCACAGTTGGGGCCACACCCCCACCATGCCCTGCCCAGATTTTGGGACCAGATGTCTGTCCCATCACTGCCAGCGGGGGGACAAACTGGGCTGTAGCCTCTGACATTTGGGTGTGGATCTTGTTGGATCAATGACCAGGTGCAGCTCTGGAAGGCTGGAGCCATCGTTCTGGTCCATCTGGGGCGGGGGTCCCACTTATCAGGGTTAAGTCCTGACATCTCTAAGTGGCCCTCAGCTCTCCTTCTGTTCCCTCCCCTTCCTTTTCCTCCTCACAGTCACACATCAGGGGGCCAGCAGTCTCAACAAGCTCACCTGCCTCACTCTGACCAGAGCGCTCTCCTACTTGCCTACGGGACTACCCCACGCTGGGGCCTCCTTAGGTAGCGTGGGACAGGGAGGACACTCAGCCTGCAGGGGGGCTGCTGCACCCCTATCCTGGCTGTTCCCCCTACTTGGTTCTGGTCCTCAGTCTTCCCACATGTGAGGTGGGCTCACCAGAAGGTAACCGATGGAACTTGCTGAGCAGAGCCTGCATGTCTGGGTACTGGCCGTGGGCTTGGGGAGACAGGCTGTAGGGCTGGTGTTTCTGCGTTCTTCTGCTCTGAGACCCCACTCTGTGTGTCTGGCCCATTTCTCTCTCCTTGTCCCCCTATTTCCCTTTTCTTGCCTTTCCTCTCTCCTCCCCTCTCCTTTGCCATCCGAGTCTCTCCTCACCCCTCCCTCCCGTCCTCTTCCAGTCCAGGTTTCTCCTAGCATATCCCTATCCTACCTTCCGCCAGTCTGGTTTCAGCCATCCTGCCGGTGAACAATTTCCAACCCTCAGGCAATTTTCCATCTTCACCAGGAAATGGGGCTCAGGGCTCTGTGTAGCCCACTTGGGGGCTCTAGACTTTCAGGAGAGACAGCCCAGGGGGACAGCCAGCAATTGTCCTGTCATCCTCACAGTAGCCAGGGACTCAGAGATGGTCTTCATCAAAATGTCCCCAAGTTTGGGCTTATTTCTGGAAATTTGCCCTCTTTTCCAGGGCTCTGTGCCTTTGATCTCACAGTCTTCCTAGAATCGGAGTCCTCATGCTCACCAGTCACCCTTTTCCCCTCGCAGGTTTGTGCTGTTTCCTCAGTGATGGCAGTACTTCCCTGCAACCAGTTCCACATCATTCTGTCTCTCGGATTCCACGAGTCCATTGACTGGGCCATTCTGCTGTCACCTGCCCAGTGCCCTCTCCCGATCTCCAATTTCACTACAAAATGGCCAATGTCAGAGCACTCAGTCAGTCCGGTGCCAGTCTTTCCATGGGTTCTTTGTAATCTCTGGTTAAGGTGGGTCCAGGCCTGTCAAGGTCTGAGTTGCTCAGAACCACAGCCAAGGGTGAGTGCCTTTCCCTGCCCTTCGATGACCCCCCAAGGCCCCCACTTACCCTGAGAGTTGAGCTGGAACCACATCCTGTGTCCACTCTGGAACTGGGAGGGAGTGGGAGGGAACAGGGTGGGGTGGATGAGGGACTCTGTGTGCAGCACAGCAGCAAATGTAGACAAGTCACACCGTGCTGGTCCAAGGGTATGGCCTTGAAAGAGTCAACTTCATTTACCAGACGTGCCGCAGGGGCTGGCAAATGAGCCCAGTGTTCATTATTTACATTTGGCTGTAAATTGCTGGAAGTTGTAATTATAGTTTGATCACTGGGTGAGCGCCATATGCAGCCTTTCCAGCTAAAGGAGTAACAATTTCCACAAAGCAGACAGCCCTGCCTGCGGAAGCTGCCGGCTTTATAGATCTTTATTGGAGCATGTATCTCGCCTCCTGAATTATAGCAGCTGGGAGCAGAGCACCAAGGAAAGCAAGGGCCTAGTGCCTTTCACGTACGTCCTACATCTTCATTCAGAAGGCAGGGCAGAGTAGGAAGGCACTGGTGGCAAAGACAGAAGCCTTGGTCTCTATTTAATAGCTACCAGAAAGCTTCAGGCAGCCGTAAGTATGGCTTAGAGAGGCGTTGGACCCTGGTTTCAATTATACACCGCCACCTCCCTGTGCAAATAACAAGGGCACAGCTGTGTTTACATCCTGGGGCCACCACTTATCATCTGGTGTCATCAAGTCATTCACCCCATCTTCACCCCATCTTTTCAAGCCTCAAATTTCTCCAGTACTTCTCTTGTGAGGGTGGCATGAGGTCTCAATTAGATGGTACAGACCCTGCCAGGGCCTGGCGTATGAGGTCCCATGCGGGGACAAGGCAACACTTCTCCTCCCACTTAAGAGACTGTTGTGCAGACTGGGCAGCTTGAGATAAAGGGGGGCCCAGTGACAGATGGAGAGTAGAGACCAGGGCCCTGTGTCTGGGTTCAGATTCCAGTTCTGACACTCAGTGGCAGTGTATGACTGTGCCTCACTTTCCTCACCTGTCGCACGCACAGCCTGAGTAATCTCCCCGGGCTGCGGTGAAGATCAGGTGAGTTACCGTGTGGGCTGATCACTGCACCTGGCTGGCGTAGGCAGCACGAGTTCTTCGGCATTTAGGGACTGAATCAGGAAACCAAAAGCTTCAGATCTGAATATAGGCTCACACTGGAATCCTACCCAGTCTTCATTTTCCCATTTGTTAAATGAGAGAAGCTATAATTCCACAAACATCTAATTTTTAGATGACAAGAGTAATTATGTGCTTATTTTTTGTTATTGTTTATTTCATAATCATAAACTTAACTGCAACCAGCTAGCTTTGGAAGGGGATAAGGAAAACATGGAGCCCAAAGCACTGAAGGGAGAGCATACAGATTATAGGCTATTTTGAGCAGATGGGAAGGAAGAGGTGATCTCCTGAGCTGTGGAATGAATGGTCTGGTGGTTAGGATAAAACACAAGTCAAATTTATTAGATTTGGTCACAGTCTGCAATGGTGATCTTCTTGCTAGTTTTGCCATTCCTAGACCCAAGCCTCCTGGCTTCCACAAATTTCATGCCCTCCTCACCTTGCCAAAGACCCCACGCTCCCCATTCAACCCCTCAGTCTGTGTCGTGCTCAGCATTTGCCACGGACAAGTCTCCAGATTAAATTCTCATCATCCAGTTTCCCCCCAGATGCACTTGCCACATGCATTATGGCATGTGAAGTCACCACCTTGGTATGTAAATCCTGGGGTAATTCTGTGAAAGCAGGAACTTTTGCGAATCTTCTTCCTAGTGCCCAGAGCACCAAAGTTTTCTGCTGTAGGAGACACAGCCCAGGGTTCACCACCGACAGCAATGTTGAACACAGTGGGATTGACCAGGGTTACACAATGTGGGGGGTCCGGCGATGGTGTTGTCTCCAAGGCCTAATTATGTGCTAATTTTGAAGTAAGACTGCCTGAGTGCGAGCCCTACAGTGTGGATCATGCCCCAAGTTCTCTTTACCTCATCAGTGGCATTAGTGTCACATATGCCATGACACATGGATCACCCAGGGGTCCTCATGTGTCTAGAAAGTCCTGTCCCTTCTTGAAAGTCTCTTGTGGACTTTCAAACTTGAGTCTAGTCCTCCATAGGCAGGATCTTGTCAGGGGACACACTGGCATGAGAACAAGTAGAAAGAGCAAAAAGTTTGTGGGGGCCATAAGACTGCAGTGTGTTTCCTCAAGGGAAAGAGGAAGGTGGGGCCAAAGTCATGTGTCCAGGAAGATGGGGCAAAGCTGTCTGGGAGTCCTTGAGCCAAATTTGGCCATATCAGACTCCTGGGTCTTCCAGGGTTTCTCACAAGTCTTGGTCCTCCTCGCGTCCCGAGAACACAAGTTGTCTGTCTATAGGTTTACACATCTCTCCACTGGATGCGACTGTGAACTGCAAGGGCAGGACCCTGGCTACTAGTGACCTTGTGGGTGGCCCAGCACCCCGTGGTACACACAGGCTCTCACCTGTTGAGGGAACGAGCCCTTGAAGACAGCTTTCCTCAGGTCCATCTTCAGTTAAGTCACTCTCCAAATCCTTTTACAATGGACCGACGGTTTGAGCCCCCTTTCCTATCATGTCCTAGACACCAGGCAGCTCTCCCTCTGGGGAAAGGCTGTGGATTCTGAAGAGAAACCAAATACAAATACCCTATCTAATCTCATAAAGTATTTCTTTACATGAATTTTAGCAGTGAGTCCTAAATTTTCTCAAAGGATGTCCTGGATGTTTGCTATTGGATCCCAACATTTCTGCTAGATATGTCCTACCTCTACTCTCCAGTCACCCCATTTTCTTCTGAGTCAATGACACAGACCTAAATTGGTTTCAGGTACAACTGGCGACATGTGCAACTGTGGCTAGAGGGAAGATGGAGAACCTAGGTGGACCCCAGGACCCCTTCCATCAGCTCAGGTACCCACAGACTGAATGATATGGCATACATGCCATCCTGAAGCTTTGAGGACTTAGTGCTAAGGCCTTTGTAGAGCGCTGAAGGTCCTTGCACCTCTGCTTCATGGTCAGCCAAATGAGCACATCCCATGGTCTGCTCTCAGCAGCCTGCCCTGGCTGTGCTCTTCCTCCCGACCTTCACTGGAGTCACCTTCTCCCATCGTCCTCCACTGCAGAGAGTGGTTACAGCTGCTTCTGTGAGGTCAGGTGGCTGACTCACCTGGCCCTCCCCTAGCAGCCCCACGCCTGAAGGGGTAACAAGCATCTGTTTCCTGTCCTTGTAGGATATGATTGCTGAGACTAGGGTCTGTGCCCCCAGCTGTAAGCAAGACAAGAAGTATTTGTGGAATGATGACATCCTGGCATGCTGAGAAGTCACAGGAAGGAGTCACAGGAGGAGCAAGATAAGTTCACAGAATCAACTTCTGGGATTCATTTGGTCCAGATTGAACTATGATCTTTGTGCCAAACCAGTTTTTCTCCCAGTTAGGGTATTCTAAATTGAACTGTGCTGTATGAATGAAATTTCTCAGTATTGTAAGAAGGATGGTGAAGTATTTTGGGATACATTTATTTTTAATAAAAAAACTTCCTCCAACAATTGATATTTCACATTAAGGGCCATGACTCATGTCTGATGACTCATTCTTTCCATTTTCAAACACATGCAGGGATTTGGATTTGGACCCTGGTGAGAACCATTCACAACACCCGCTGCCCCCTCCCTCGCCCCCGACACATTCCATGTTTCTCCCTAACCCCCATTCATTGATGTTATTAGTGACCTAACAGAGAGTCTGCCTGATACGTGCGCCTTTCTTCTGAATATAAGAGCTACAGCCAAATGGGGTTCCTCCTTCTGAGGGAATGAAGGGGGTAGGGGTGGTCTTCAAATCACTGAGATGATGTTTTATTTCCATCTGGCTCTCCTGAGTAGGTGTGTCTGCTAATTCCAAGATCACCACACCTGGCACATCTGGATTACCTCCCTTAAAGCCTTTACCCCCTCCATGCTTTTGTCCTTCATGGCCATGGCTAGGAGAACTGCTTTGTTTCCGGCTTCTTCAGACACAAATGTCACCAGGTTCTTTGCAAAGACATGGATGAGAGGCTGGTAAAGGATAGGGGGAAAAACATTTTCACTGCAAGAAACCTGCTTCTTTCTTAATGATTTCATTAGGAACCCCTAGGAATCCAGACAGGCTTCCTGCACCCCATAAATCTGATGCAACAATGATTCAGAGTTCAGGAGATTCCCAGAACACCTGCAGTCATAAACAAACTGCTAAAGAGGCATCATTACATTTATTTTCTTAGTGCCTTCTGATTGCCTGTCTCTTCCGGCTATCTGTAATCTGGAAGGACTCATCAAAGACAGACGTGTGTGTGGGGGGGGACTCTGTACAATTGCACAGATAATCTTTCAGAACTGAGCACATGACACCCACTCATTACTATAATATATCATGGCAGGGTCAAACCCAGGGGAAGGCCTACATTACAAAATCAATACTTCCACAAGCCTGCTGGATAAAATGCAATGGACTGGGGAAAGTATCCACCAAGGGCAGCTGGACACCCTCTGACCCACAAAGGATCCGGAAAACGCAATAACTACCGAGGCTAGCTACCAGATATTCTATGTCTGCAATGACAAATTACAGACACAGGAGCTGTTTCTCCACGGTGGGGCTCCCTTCCCAACCACTTTACCTCGTCCTGCCCGAGGAGGACTTTAGTGGTGAGCATGGGCTTGCTGATGTCACTGGTGACGTTGCTAGGTTCCAGGGAGACCAGGGTACCCATCTTCCCGAACTGGGTCACCACCACAAGGATGTGACTGCTGAAGGCTGTGCAGACCACCTGGGTGGGGACCCCACACACCACTTCTGTCTTCTGTTTTGATATCACCACAGGTTTGTCTTCCATAGCTGGGTCTTCTCAATGGCACCTTTAACTTATGCAAAAAAGAAAAAGGGAGCGAGTCAATCAGTGTCAGAAATGCCTTGGGGCTCCAAACGATGTATCACTTGGCATTAAAACAGAAACACAAGAAGGCTCATTCAAAAAAGCAAGTGTCTGCCCGCCCATACAGATTTCACCTGGGACTTTCTGGATTCAGGATTAGACACACATGTATATACAAGCAGGCCCAGCAGAGAATGGAATGTCAAAACACACTTCTGTCTTTATGAAGTGAGGTATGTCATTTCCTCCTGCGAGAAGCACTTCCCACGCGCTCAGCATTCGTTCAAGACTCCACACCCAAGCTAGAGCGGTTCAGAATCCTGCGGGGTGGGAGAGAGGGGGTTTCAGCCATGCCATCACCATAAGCGTAAAGCTCCGATAGCCGCAGCGAGAGCAAAGATCCGCATCCTCCCCGTCCCCCGCCCCGCCGCCCCCGGCGGGCTTATGTCGGTGAAAACCGCCCCAGCCGACGACGCTAGACACCACCCATCAGGGAGCGCGGAGACGCAATAGCACCCCGGCTAGGGGCATCTGGGGGGGAGGGGGTCGCCGGGACACCCACCCGTCCCGCCCTGCGCCGGCCCGCCCCGCCAGCCACGCCAAGCAGGTAGCCATGCCTCCCGCGCTCACCGCGCCGCGCCCGGAAGTGACGTAAGCGCGAGACCTGTCCCGCCCTTCCCGACGGGACCCCGCCCGCGCGCGCCCGGCCCACTCGCTCGCGCCCCTGCCCCCGCCGGAAGTGTAGTCGGCGGGGCTTCCGCCCCCGAGCCCGGGCCTCTGGCCCCAGAGTGGTGGGTTTGTGTATTGAGGAGAGGTTTGGGTGACTGGGAAGCGCGTTAGCAGGCTTCAACTTACCGGCTTCGAGCCCCTCGGCCCCAGATACTCGGTAAAGGGACCACCGGGTCCCCGTAGGGAGATCCTGGACGTTGCTGTGGCTCTGTGGTCAGGGGACCCTCAGAAATGGGCTCTGGGCGGAGGGTCCGGAACACTTAAACAAGGACGCTGTATCGGTGTATGGAGACCGCTGGTGTCTGTCCGAGAAAAACCGGACTTGGAAAGTGGTTAAAGCTCTGAAAAGAGATTTGTGAACATTGTAATAAGGGACAAGAGAGATGACAGTGTAGAGCCCCACTCAATCCCGAATACAGTTACAGCCAGGGCAGGTGGGGTTTGTTGCAGCATAGAATAGAAAATTGGGGTGGAAACCTCATATGACCAGAAGCTGGGGGTGAGGGGTGGGGCGAGGGGGTGTAGAAATTGTTAACATCACCAGTAAACTAACCATAGAAATGAAAAATCCTTAAGCACTGCTTGGACAGATGGAAACTCAGTCATTATAAAGGACTGCTATAGGAAATATCTGTAGGCACCGCAAGGTGGGGATATGGAGAAAATCACGGGTCCTTATAAATTAATCCAGTCATCCCCTAGAAGTGATTAATTTTAACAATTGATAAAAAATTCTCAAAGGAATGAACTCCTCCCCCCAAAAGGGAACACTGTAAGAACAACTTCTCTCTTGGCAAAATGCAGCTCTTGTCCCAAGATTGCCTTCCTGTGTCTCTGCAGGCAACTCTGAACAAACCTGTTCCTTTCAAATGCAGCTCTTTCTTCCTGCCTGTATCTGTGCAAACATCCTTATCTCCTCTGCAAACTTGCTGTGTGCTGCTGAAAGAGATACTGGAAACTTTTCTCAGGCAACTCAAGGACCCCATTCATCTGAACCCAACATCTCATCAGAACCCCATCATGGGGAAACTACTAAGGAAACTTCAGGACTGACTGGGGTTCTGGCTAAATCAACCTAACAGGATACTTGCTAAAGGTACGCCAGGGCCAGTCATACTCTCTGGGTGTTGGGGGATGGAGAAACTAAGGTATCCAGGGTGACCAGCTATGGAGGATGGAATTCTTGGTAAAACTGGAAAATGCTGAGCTGGAACACAAGTCCAAACGTCAGGGTTAAAAATGTTTAGGGGAACCTGAATAAAGTTTTATGTAAGATGGATTCTTTGTCAGAGCCCACTGCCCTCAGTTACAAAGTTAGCACCTCAAAAGCCCATGAGGGACATCTGTTCATGTTCAAGGGAATACAAAGAGATGGCAATCATTTGGCACAATGCCAGACATTGTTCTAAGTACTTTATGTGTAACTCATTTGATCTTAACCTTAAAGTAGAAACATTATTACTGGTTCTTTTTTTTTTTTTTTAAGATTTATTTATGCATACAGAACTGGGGTACAGGCCAGAGGTGCAGGGTGTAAGAGGCTTCACCAGAGACAGAGTGGAGAGCAGTATAGGCAAATTGACAGAAAAACACTGCTGAGGGGAGCAGTGGGCAGGTCAGGAGAGGTCTGCCCCACCATGTGAGTCACCCCCCTGGCTGGGGATCAGACTTTGTTGCAGTGGCTGCGATAGCTTCATAGTGCTGTGCTTTAACCTGTTGTGCCACCAGGGAGGGCCCTATTACTGCTTCTATAGACAGGATTTTCGGGTTCAGAGAATTTGTCCAAGGTCATGAAGCTGATAAGGATTGGCTCTGGGCTTCAAGCCGTTGCCCTTAATAATGCTCTCATGCATGCCCAGGCAAGGGGAAAGAGGCAGCACCAAGGCTATGCCAGGAACAGGATGATTTCTGGTTCCTCTGGGGAGTCCTGAGAGTTCCTTACCATTTATCCTCCATTTCTTCAAGCTGGAAGTTTTATTGGCAGGCTGGAGGAGAGCTGAGGTAGGGTGGAGAGTGTTGGGCTGATACTATAGTAATTTCAGCCCTGAGCCTCTTCCTCAGGGGATTAATACTTCCTTACACCCCCTAAACCTTACCCCCAGAAATTTTCCTGTCCAGTTTTCTGACAGCAGGGCCTGATGTGTCTATGCCGCTTACTCCTTGGGAAGCCTTGGCATCCCTAAGTCTTCATTCTTTTCTCTTGATTTAATGACTCCTTGTACAATCCAAGTCAAGTCAAATGAAGCATGCTCCTGCCAAAATGATTTCTGCTGGTCTAAAATAAAAGCCATGTATACAAAACATTATCAAAATAGATTTAAGAACAGGAGGAAATTTGTTTTTGAGCTTTCTTGCAGCCAAATCACAGAGGGAAAGATTATGCGTTTCATGGTTCCAAGACTCAAAAAGGAGGAAGCATATCAATTTCCAAGGAGAGTCTAAATTTTTGCTGGTTCTAAATTTAAACATGCATCCACCCACACACACACCCAAAGCAAATTGCCAATGTATTGCTTTACCATGTGAAACCTTCAAAAAGTTCACTTTAATTCACCTACTTATACATGTTCTCTTTGTAGTGAAACCTGACATCCCCCAAAGACCTGTCAACTTTGAAATAAACTTATCACCTTTACAAAAGGTGTTGAAGAACATAGTGGATGATGTTTCGATGACAATGCTAAGAAACTAAATGCTTGCACTTTGCCTGTTTTTTAGTGTAGATCTTTGGTAAAGATTGAATATGAAGGAAACAAGGTGGGCAGGTTGTCCTCCATAGTCCAGCAAAGGGGCTTTCTGGAGGGCTAAATGGATGTGTGGGCAGAATTTACACCTTTAAAATAATGCCTACTATTGACTGTTCCCAGTGCTAGGTAGTGGGTAACTAGACTGCAAATGGGAATCAAATGAATTCATTTAAAATGGGAATCAAATAGTAATAGTGTCAGTGCTGGGGCAAAAGAGTTTAAGAATTTATATTGTGGCCCTCCCTGGTGGCGCAGAGATCTAAAGGGCAGCACTGCAAGCTGGCCGTAGCTGCTTCAGTGTGAGTTCGATCCCTGGCCCCTGAGGTGACCCACATGGTGCTGCAGACCTCTCCTGACCTGCCCGCTGCTCCCCTCAGCAGTGTACTTCGTCCATCTGCCTGTTCTGCTCCCCACTCTGTCTCTGGTGAATCCTCTCACCGCCCCTGCACCTCTGGCCTGTATGTATAAATAAATCTTTAAAAAAAAAAGAATTTATCTTGGAAAATATCTTGAGTGTATCTTTTAGTCAAGGACTTTCAGGTTATGAATGCAATTATGTGTTAATTTGTAGAATCAACAAAGAATCAAGCGTTGATTTGATAGGATCATAATTTTCCCAATAAATTGTATGATAGCTCAATATATTATTCTTCACATTAAGTGTGATTTTCCTAGCTCTGTTAGAAAGAGGATTGGTTTTGCTATAATGTACAAGGGCACCATCAATTTCCCCAAGAGCCTCTCTCAATCCTTTGATATTTAAATCACTTCTTGTTGATATGCTATCCTGTCATTAGCCTTGTCAGTTTCCTCATTCTTAGTTGCAGGCTTGCCTGGCATTGCTAGGCCTTCTCTCACTTGCCACTGGTTTAGGGCTGGGTCTGCACATCCTCTAGTTCATTGGTGGTCTTCCTGAAATCTTGCAGCTTTCATTCGATTTGCAATTTGTTTCTGCAGTTGATTTTTATTATGATTTCTAGGCCTTTCAATACAGGGGATGGGAACTTTCTGGAGCTATAGTAGGAAGGGTATTTGAGTGGAGCCTGATTGTGTAACAGGTCAATTAACTCTTAGGACTTTTTGTTAGGTTATTTTTTTTTTTAAAGATTTATTTATTTGTGCATACAAGAGCTGGGATGTATGTCAGAGGTGTGGGGGTAAGAGTGTGTGAGAAGATTCACCAGAGACAGAGTAAGGAGTACAATAGGCATCCTGACTGAAATACACTGCTGAGGGGAGCAGCGGGAGGGACAGGAGAGGTCTGCTGTGTCATGTGGGTCACCTCTCTAGCTGGGAATTCAACTGGTGCTGCAGTGGCTGCAGATAGCTTCATAGTGCTACACTTTAACCCCATGCGCCACCAGAGAGGCCCTTGTTGGGATGATTTCTATTTTCTTCTGCAGTCTCACCACTGCAGGTGCTCAGGTAACTGAACTTCAGCAGTAAGGACCCCGAGGCATACCAGGCTGGCCATGAGGAGGACCTGGGGCATCAGAGCCAACTTCTTTGGTCCTTTGCTCTTTAGAGTAGCTTGCGCTGTCGGCCTCAGTTTCTCAGCTTAGAAGTGAAGATAACAGTTGTGCCTCCCAGGGATTGAGTGAGGTGATACTTGTACTGTGATTCACTAGGACTTTATGCATTTAGCTATAGCATTTATTACTAATCAGTGGTTCTCTTGTCCTTCAATAAATAAAATTCTATAGCTACATGCTAGGTGGGGAGTAATTTGGGTTCGCATTTAGGCACTGTTAGGTACCCCTGACCTGCATTGCCTGAAGGCCCTGGGAGCCCCCAGAGTTTGTCTGAATAACCAATTATAGATGCAACATTCCCTCTGAGGTTTTGTTAATAGGTATAACCCTTTTATTATTAATACTACATAATTAAATGACAACCACTGTCATTTCTGTCACTCCATCATCTTCCTAGAGGAGCTGGTAGTGACAGTTGGAGACTACTTATGTGATGCAGACAGCAGATAGTGGCATTAGACTTTTAGGTATTTTTGAAGATGTATCTATTGGATTCTTTTAAGCATCAGTGACAGACACACATGTGAAAAATTTTTCCTCTCAGGGAAAATAGAGGGGCTCATATAGCAGAAAAGACCCAGAGATGCAGACAATTTGTCTCTCCATTTCTTTCTTTTTT